AAGCGCACTAAACCATCGCTCTAGGGTCAAACTGTCATCTCGCTCAACAATCAGGGTATCGCTTTCGCGCTTGTCGGTCCGAAGAAACTCTTTGCCAGTTCGATGTACACCATCCTCGTACGTGCATTCTCAGTTCTGTCTCGTTAGCTGAGGAATTCTTTTAGCCGTATGGCTTTATCCTCGGCGCCGTCTGCCCTATAATCCTGTACCTCCTCCACCGCCGGTGGCCCAAAGGAGGTTTCAACCTGGTTAACATCCCAGTACGTTGTCCCTCTTCCCTTCCTCCTCCCTCCCTCCCATCTCACGTCCCCAGATCTTCGCCACGACCATGGAGAATTACTACGGCAACATTTCAGTCTCAACCTTCACCTGGTTCATCCTCGGCAGCATCAACCACCTCTACTTCAAACGCTACAAGTACAAATTCTGGAAGACTTACGCGTACCTTGCGGGCGCTGCGGCTGATACGGGGTATAATTTGAATATGCTTGTCATCTTTATTGCGTTTTCGGCGATCAAGACGACGACGGCGCCGCATTGGTGGGGAAACAATGAGACGTCGGTGGAGAGGTGTTTTCCGAGGGCGTAGGGATGAGTCAAGTTTGCTGGGATAGATGTATATGCTCCAAAGTATGTACGATATCGATATCGATGTGGCAACCAAACAAAGATCATACGGCGTAACAGGCAGTTCGGATAGTCACTGCTCCTCGTTCCAATCGTGTTGCGTCTTTCGGAAATCTGTTTCCTCTTTTTGAAGTTTCCCGCGACCACTGTTGAACTTGGCTTAAGCTTCATAAGCTTCATCCACATCGCAGTGCTAGTACGCACCCAGTTTATAATCGAGGAACGAGTACATGGGGTCGGCATATGGCATTCTCATCGACCGTATTGATCATGCTGAAGGTTTGAGCTTCAGTCTCCCTGAGATGGATGGAATTCAAAGCTCGAATAGGGGAGGTCAAAGTTCTCCGGAGTCGATTCTCGGAGTCGATCCTGAGCTCGATTCTGAAACCAAGAATCGACAAATTGCAACTCCCGAGACACATTCATCGACAGCCGCATTTGAAAACGACGAACAAGATCTGACAGTGAGATGAATAAAAGGTTCAAATCCCATTCAAAACCCGAAATGGCCCGATCCCGAGTCGAACAGATGACGGCACCAGGACAACTGCAACTGACTGAATTCACCAGCCACAACATTATGGCTTCTCTCGATTCGCACTGATCATTACTATCAACATACAGAGTCAAACCCTGGATGCGAAAAGGACCCGGAAGCGAAAAATCGCGTTTTCTGGACGCGCTGTGCACAGAATCTGGCCAGGTTTTTTTCGACTGAATCTCAAACTGTGCCTCTACAATCCTGTGTGCTGAAAAGAGGGCCTCTGGCCGCCCACCCTGGGAGAAAAAATGAATACATGCCAAATCCGTCAGATTGTTGATCAAGTGGCAGAAATTTGCTCTGGTATCATCTGCTGCAGGCCCACTTGACTTGAAATCAACAGATATGAGTGTGTTCCCCCAGAATGTAGCCCTATGGCCAGTGCTGGGCCCTCAGACCCTCAACAAGGGCAGATCTGCCGGTATTTACACCCAAATTGCCGCCCGAGCGGTGTGCCGCTTGTCGTGAGTTTCTGCGGGTAAAACAAGGCTCTTGAGCGTCAGGACAACAAGGAGGCATCATATGTGTGTTCCCTATACATTATCGAGTAACGATATGGAGCCTGAGTGCCTTTCAAGCGCACTTTTTCGCTTCTCGGTCCCCGCCCAAACCGACACTGTTCTCATATTCCCCAATGACTGGCCCAAAAAATCTGGAAATATTTGGGGATACACCTCATGTTTGTAGTATGCCTCACGCAAAATTCTGGGGAAAGGGTGCTTAGCGTTGTTCAGAAAAAGGGTCCGACTTTCGATTTTTCGCATCCGGGGTTCAACTCTGTAATACAAACTCATCGAATCCAGCCCACCTATGCACCCACGCCCATCTCCACCTTCCTCCCCTTTACACTCTTCCACTCCATCGCCAAACTCCCAAAAATCGACAACGCACCCATAGCCACGCTAACGTAAAACGCATTGACCAACGCAAGATTGTAGACCTCCAACACGGCAGGCAGTAGGCTCACATCCACCGCCGCCACAACACCCTGCAAAGAGGTCGCCCCAGTGTTGAGCACAATAGCGGGATCCACACCCGGAACGTCCCTCTTCAACCCCGCCACCAGCTTGTTCGTAAAGACATTCTGGCCGACGGAGATGAACAGCGAACCGCCTAGCGTTTGCATGAACATGACCACGGACGTCCCTGTCGGCACATCTGCTAGACTGAGAACAGTCTGCGCCGCCATGATGGGTTGCTGAAGACCCAGCCCCACGCCAATGCCAAACATCGCTTGGTACCCGATCCACATTGCGTGTCCCGTGTGGACTTTGAAGGTGGATAGCAGGCCCGCGCCGACGCCCATGAGGATGGAGGAGAGGATCATGAGGGGAGTGTAGTACCCGATGGCGGCGACACCGACGCCGCCCAGGAGAGAGGCGAAGACGACGCCTAGGACTTGAGGGAGATTGTCAATGCCACTTTTAACGGCGGTCGTGCCTGGTTGAGGTGAGTCAGGGAAAGTAGAATTAGGTGGTGTGCGAACCTTTGATTGCCTGCCAAGACGAAAGATGAGCAACGCCATTGAAATTGAACCAATACTCACCTGGAACCATATAGGAATCTACGCCCCAAGTCAGAGAAGGCAACGCCAGATTGGAAGCACGCACAAAGTACACCAATAACAAAAACGACGCCCCCAATGAAAGAGAGAAAAACGATCCCGCAAGCATACTCCTGTTCTTCATGATTCTCGGCGGCACTGTCCCCATATCGCCCTTCCAAATTTGTATACAGACAAAGGCAGCGATGAGGACGCCAAAGAGAACGAAGAGCGCGATGATGCGGCCGTTGGACCAGGGGTACTTGGAGCCGCCCCATTGGAGGGCGAGGAGCAGGCACACGATTCCTGGGATGAAAACGATCTGGAAGAGTTGAACGAAGGCGGAAGGGAAATGAATAGAGGACAAACCGAGCCCCAGGGGTCAAACTGGTTCAGACGCTTTAGGAGAGGCATCGACTCGGATTTCCGGGCGCGCATGGGTAGCTTGAAGAAGAGCGCGATGACGAAGAGCGTAACGCCGCCTGCGGGACCGTGAGTTAGCGTACTTCACGAAAAGGCGTGCTTGCCGATGGGTAGGTTCTGCTTGGCACGTTAGATGTAGTGCGATGAGAGCAAAGAGTCATACAATAAAGAAACCTTCAAACCAAGTTGAGTCAATAGCCATGGATTTGAGTTCAAGTTGTTACTCACACCAGCGCCATGTAACCTTGTCCGTGAACGCACCTGGATGGGTCAACTCCTTATTCTGTGTCAAGCAACAGCCGAGCACCACTTACCACCCATGAGTGGCCCTGCTACGCTGGCAACGCCGTACATGGCCGATATAAGCCCAGTGTAAATCGGGCGCTTCTCCAACGGCACGATATGCGAAAGGATGACCATGGCCCCGTTGAAGATCCCCGCACTGCCGAGACCCGCTACAGCGCGTCCGACGATAAGAGCATTGGATGTTGGGGCGACGCCACAGACGAGGGAGCCGAGTTCGAAGACACAGATTGCGCCGATGAACACCTGAGGTCGGTGAGTTGGGTGAGAGCTTGGATGGGTTGCGCACCCATTTTATGTTCAGGAACGAATAAAGACGGCCGAAGAGTAGCTGGAAGGATGCCGTCGTGAGGAGGTAGGAAGACCCATACCAGCCTGCCCATTCGAGATGAGTGTCCTGCTTTACGAAGATATGACGACGCACCGACATCATCGAGACTTTTAAAATGGTCGGTGATTTTTGGCTGCGGCGACTCGGCGATGGAAGAAAACCGGGATGGAAGGCACGCACGATGGCTGTTGCGATGATAGTATTGTCCTGTAGCGCATGATCTCAGTCCAAAGCACACCAGAGAGGAGTTCGACCCGGCGCACCAGAGCCACCAGAAAGACTGCAAAGCAAAGGGCAGTGCAGATGAGCGCAAGCTTGAAGCCCGTGGGGTAGTGTAGCTCTACCGAGCCATTTTCGTCTTGAGCTTGAGCCGCCACGTCAAGATGGCCGTCCTTCGAGTCCGCCTCCTTCAAGTTTTCCTTCTCCGTGCTGCTGGAATGCTGAGGTTCAGAGATGAGAGTTGGCGCTGAGGACCTCGGCGGCGAGGAGTCTGCCATTACGACGTTGTCGCGGAGAAACGGAGTCAGAGCGCGGATGCGATGTGGGAGAAGTCAAGTATTTATGCTCTTGATCACACCACCTGATACATATCAACTCGGGCCGTACGGTTGGATTCGGAAGAAGGAAGCCAGACGCCAGAGATGGTGGGTTTTCCGATTGCCGCGGCGCCGCAAAAAAAAACCTCCACTCAACCTTCACTCAACATCAACCTTTACCACTTGAGTCAAACAGGCCTCATCATCAGAGGCCTTTTTTCCGACCAACAGATGAATCTCCCTTCTTTTGGAAATTAGCACGTGCGCACATTAACTGACGACATGTTCGTGAATCGTAAAGATCTCGGGAGCTGAGGACCGTTTCGCGCCGTTGGCAGAAACTGTAAAATGCTGAGTTTAGAACCGACATGGATATTCGTCTCGCGCGCTGCGAGTCAAGACAGCAGAAAATCGGCAAATTGCAAAAATTAGCCTCCCTGCATCAAGATCACAGTGCGTTCGAGTAATGCTGAACAATTCGGGCTGGGGAGGACTAGAGGCAGACGATTGCAATTCACAAGTAACGGCAGAGAAACAGCAAGGCAGTGAAATAAGTAGGAGCAACGAGACGAGTTGGGCCTTGACAATTGATGATTGATCGATGGTTGAAATTTTTTGAAACCTGAATGTTCAACTTCCGGGTAAACTGCACGTCATTATGTATGTGGGATCGCTAGCCTCACGGAGAGCTTCCGTGGTTGGATGGCCGAGCGGTCTAAGGCGCCAGACTAAGGATCAGCGTCGTATCTGGCGTTTCTTGTTTCATCGTACCTTCGGTGCGTTGGATATCTGGTCTTTCGGGGCGTGGGTTCGAATCCCACTCCAATCAGCATCCTTTTGCTTCATTACTCAGGAAACTATATTCTTGTGAACCAGATATGCCCCAACACTTGCAAAGCAAAAGACCATTCCAATGCAGAACTCAGGCTATGACAGAAGTCTCTGGTATCCGACTCTCATCCTCTCTCATCATCCTCGTGTCTCTCTGCAGACTGCGCCATGAGCTAGCAGCAGTTCTGCGATCTCCCCAAGATGTCACCATAATCCTTCTTCTTGGCCACACTCGACGGACTCCGACTCGTACCTACCAGCGCGAGGCAACCGCGCCATGTTCAGATATCCAAAGCGGCGTTCGATTCCCCCGGGGGTAATATTCTGGGAGTCGGAGTGAACATTTTTACACAGGCACTGAGCCCATCTACAAATATAATGCGGGTTAGAATAAACTCCCTCCGACTCGACTTCACGCCGAGCACACTCCAACAGACACACAATCCCTCCATGCAGCGTACATCAAGACAACAAAATTATTGCCTTCGGGACTACTCGCCAGAATCAGCTTCTAAAGTCACGCAGAGAAGAACCACACACCTGCCAGCCGTGTAAGGCTCCGTATCCAACCACCCGTACGGATTAACCGCAGGCGTGGCCGTTCCATTTTGCGTGATATGCGGATTCCCCTGTGCGTCCTTCCCACCAAGCGTCCGTCGAATCCCATCCGCAAAAGACACGTACGTCGCCGGAGGAAAGTCTTTCGGAGTCATCACGACCATCCGATACGCGACGGACGCAAGGAGTGCGCTCCCTGAAATCTCACCGAATCCATGTCCATCCGTCGACATGTCGTTCAGGTAATTGCGGAGCAGACCGCCGTCCATCGGTGCTTTCCTCGCGCCGTCTATGATCTCCTTGATCCAGGCGGTGAGATTGGCGATGGCACTAGCGCGCCAGGGCGTCCCGTTTGAAACGGGCGCTTTGATGATGCTGGCGAGGACACGGGCCATCCCGGCTGCGGCCCATCCGTTGCCCGTACTCCACAGCCCCGGGTCGGCGCTCTGCGGTCCAACAATGTGGGCCCATAGACCGTTCGTGGTGGACGTACCCGTGGGAGGGCGTCGTGGAGTTGGAGTTGAATAGGAGGACTTGGCGGTAGAGTAGACATTGTTCGTATGCGGTGAAGAGGAGGGATGAGTTGAGCGAGTCAGCGGCAAAGTAAGCTATAAAGGGAGGTGCCATGTACATGAAGTCTGCCCTGCGTCCAAAACATCAGCATATTCTTGGATGTATGGAAAGAAGGCACACACCAGAGTTCGGGCACATCATCCCGGTGTGAGATCGCCCCATTTGACCAGCGCGGTGCCTTATTTAGGAGATAATCGATTTCGCTCTGGGCCGCCGTCGCATATGTGTTGTTTGTTTTTCCGAGCATCACTGCAGCAACGCCTAGACTGGCCGGATCGCCAACCGCTCCGCTCCCATCGTCCAGGCCGTCCAGCCCCAGCTCAATATTCGCCTCGGCGTAAGAGAGAGGGGCGACCCATGCTGGTGGGACGCTGAGAACTGGAAATGGCTCAGAGCCAAAGACAGAGAGGACAGCCGAGTCGAGTTCGAGGAAGGCTTCGGCGGCGGTGCCGTACTCCCACGAGTGGCTTGGGAGGGAATGTGCGAGGGCTGCGACAGCAGAGATATCGAATCCTGGGTTGAAGGGTGTTGTGGACTGCGACGCAATGAGGCCAATGACCGAGGTCAAGTTGGTGGACATGGAGGGAGGAGGGAAAGAGCGGTGTGTGGTGTTACGTGAACCTGAGAGAGGTTTCAATTCTATCTGTCACTGTGTAATTAGTGTGATTATCTCCGCCAACAAATGCTGGGTTCTCATGCAGATTTCTGCCGAGCGACGAGACTGGACGCTCCGACGCAGCGAAGTCCGCCTGCAGCAAGGAAGGATTCCGAAGGAAGAATCAGCCCACGAAGTTGCTTGGGCAATGAATGCTGGACCAGGAACGTGCCTTTTCTTGATTGATCAATTTCCCTCAGGTACCAGGACGGAGATTCTACGGTGGACGAGTGACGTGTGAAAGAAGGATTCGGGGCTGATTCGGGGCGTCTCGCGCGGGCGGGCTTGATGTGTCTTGATTTCGATCCAGGTGCAAGAGCTCTGGGACTTGTGGCATGTCAGGCTCCGCCTTTGAGAATCAGATCGTCGATTCTTGAATGCTCGGTCAACGACGCTCCGAGTCATTCCGGGACTCCGAGTCAACTATCCAGCTTCGGTCCTTCGGAGCCCTTCCATACATCCGGAGGCGATTCAGAAGACATCTTGAATTCTTGAGAGCAACGAAGGCCCCGCATGCAAGGCAGATCCAGGCGAGGAAAGTTGGGGGAAAGCACCGAAAATACCGATGACGGCAAGATGACGGGGAAGGACAATAAGTAGCGTGCCGATTTGCCGATGTCGTGTCACGCGCAGATCATGATCTTGTCAGCAACCCAACAGCAACCACCATCATTGAGTTGTCCTCAGCCTTCTGCTCCCTCAGTCGCTGACTCGATCCACTTGCTTGTCGCTTGGGCTCTTATTCAGGCGACCCAGCAACGTGGCCAAAGAGCAAGCCCGAAGCCCTACGCCGGGGCGTCCTCGGCATGCTCCATCTGTCCGACTCTCGGTCTTGTCCAAGTCTTGTCGACATGCCACTGACAACTTTCGATCCTCTAGACGAGTCACGACCAATGTATCCAGTCTACCCATGAGCCTATTACGGAGAAGCGGCACGTATGGTCGGTCCCTTGCTGGCCGACTTACTGTAATCTAAATATTTGTTGAATGACTCTCTGAAGAGCCCAATATTCCGCCAAATTATTTCATCATTGAAGACTGGAACACGTATTATTTACAATCGAATTCGAACTAGCGATTTTTTTCAGACTTTTCCGCCTCTTTTCCTGCAGTCAAAAAATCCCCCTCCGAGAAAACCAAACCGGCACCGTCTCCTCCGTTGAAACCACACCTCCCCATTCAAGGGCAGAAAACTCCATAGCTAAGCCACGCCGCATCGTCTCCCGACGCCTCGATAGTTCCCTCCGAGGCCGTGCTAATACGCTGCACCACCCCGCCTTGCTGGTTGGGCTGCGCGTACACCGAGATGTGGCAGTTGGGGTGAGTCTCCCCGACGTGCAGGCAGCGCTGACCGGGGCTGAAGTTGCCTTTGCAGGCGTGGGCGTTGATGGTTGCTTGGGTGCAGGGGCCGATTGCGGTTCCGGGGACGCAGGTCGGGCCTGAGTTGAATGAGGAAAGCACACTCGGGAAAGGGACGGAGTGTATACGTACTCCCAGTTCCGGTGCTAACGACGAAGGAGACCTGGCCGAGCGCGTATTGAGCGAGCGCAAGGACGACGCTGGTCGAGAAGGCAGTGGAGAACTTCATCTTCTTGAATTAGTCTGGTTGTGAACTGACTGAAGAACACCTCGAAATCCTGGCGGTCACTTATACTGTTGACGAGTGCTATCTCCAACCAACCCTTCGGGCTCCATGTCCGTCTAAGGCTGAAGTCCGCTCGATGCCGAGCAGGAATGCCACTTTCCGAGTTTCAACTGTGTCTCAAAGGCTGTACTATAGTTGGAACGGACGCACTCCTTTCGAGGTTTGATTTCAGTCACAAAAATGTGCCGTTACGAACGTGTGGTCCATCCACAACTCGAATGATTCCATTGAGTCTCTGTAAAGGGAGGGGATCACCAAGATGCGTTCCTAGACTAACTCGGTATGAATGGAGCGATGTTATCTTCGGTTGCAAGCTACAGTCCAGTGACGGCAGATTAGCCATCCACCTGAGCCTTGGTCCGCCGTAAAACCACATGGTCGGTTGTAACGTGTCCTCACAAACTACCAAGCTCGAGCAATGCTTGTGATGCCCTGTAACTCATTTTCTTGCTGATGGGCCCATTCGATCTGTCATTCGAAGATCTGTGGCTGAAATCATACCTATACGGGACTTTGCCCGTTCTATAGCCCTTTGGCATATAGCCGAGAGTCCCCGAGACGCCACAAGCAACGTCGACTCGGCGTCGGACGGACTCGAACCGCAGAAGGATTACAAACAACAGATGATATGTACGCAGCAGAGAGATAGCACTTATCGAGCAGCTACATGAACAACAGTGCTGGGGTATCTCTTGTTCAACATGAAGTTCTCCGCCGCGTTATCTACCGGTGTCGTCCTTGCCCTCGCTCAGCAGGCGCTCGGCCAGGTTACTTTCGCCGTATCTTCAAGCGCCGCTAGTATGTTCCCTCCCGTTCTCTCCATCCGCTGGTTTCTGATCCCCTGGCCCCCAGGCTCGACCTGCACTCCGGGCACAATAATTTGGTGCACTCAGGCTACCATCGATGCACACGAATGCAAGGGCAACTTCGACCCGGGGCAGCGCTGCCTGCACATCACCGAAACTCACCCGAACTGCCACATTTCGTTATATCAAGAGGAAAATCAGCAGGGTCCAGTGGAGGTTCGCATCAGTACCGCGTCGGAGGGCACAATTCACGCATCGAGTGATGATCCAGCGTGGCTGAGTTACGGAGTTTTCTGCCCTTGAGAGCGCTGTTCATTTGGGTTTTTGCTAGTTATATACAACAAAGAGGGAATGGATCTTTTCGTATTTGCTTTTAGTTCTTTAGCCTGAGGCTGTTCTTAACATGGTTACATGGAACGACAATTGGAAGTGTAAATCTCGGAGAAGTATCGAAGTAGATTGGTGTTTGTTGAACTCGCAACGCCGCTCTGCTCATCGGATCAGCTGGATACTCGGCATGTGGCATTCTGAGTCCATAGCTCATAGCTCGGCGCGGTTACGGTGTTTGTTGGATCAAATTCCCAGAAGCAGTGTAACCGCTTTGGGTTACACCCAAAGATAGTGTAACCCGCCGGGGTTAAGGGTGCAACCTGGAATGGGAATTATTCACGTGCATCAGCTGTTTCGGTTTACATCATCTGTCAATCAATTGTCGAATGTTGAATCGTTTCTGCTCAATCCTCAGCACTTACACCGCAGAT